CCAGACGCGAAACGTCAGCTTTCCTGCTCCTCTGATGCTGCCTGGCCTGCTGTGTTCATCCAGCTCCATACCTTGTTATCTCAACCATACCATTAATAGGCTGATAATTTGTTGCAGATTTGTACGTGTTTAATCTGTATCGGTACAGCAATTTCACAGTATCATTACCTTTGTGGGATGAGTTAGATGGTAAGATGCTGCTTTTATAAAGCTTTAGAAAAAGCAGGACAGAAACTTCCTGATTTTCGTGTTTAACTGGGCAAGTGTGGTTATTGGAACTGGTTGATTAACATGTTAATAATGGCAAGTACGGTTGGCCTAATTGTTACTTCCAGCGTATTTCTACTCATGAAAGATTACCTCATTAACATTAGGTATAACGAAATCTAGCTGATGGCTTTGAGTTTCTGAATCTAAAACGGATTCTCAATAAATTACTTGGAATAAGCATTAGCACATTGTTGCATTCAGAGATTTGGAATGTTCTTTGGCTTTATATAAAACTTAATTTGAAGAGCATGGGTCATTTTAATTACATTTTCAATTTAAATTGCATGGAGCTAATTCACCCAAATACTAATGAGTAACTTTATGGTGATATTGTTACTTCTTCATAATAATCTGGATTTACAGAAGACTGATGATGTAACTGGTATCTCCCTTTAGGAGACAGAACATATTTTGTAGGAAATATCCTACAAGGCACAGAACAATAGGCATCTAAAAATTACAGTTAAAATACAAATAGCAGGCTAGATTTTCTGCCATTTCCTCTTTGCATCCATAAGTAGTATTTGAAGGCAAGGGTCTCTGAAAATATCAATGTGATCTTCCCTTTACCTACCAATGGACAAAATCATTTCACAGAAATGTTTTACCCACTTGCCACTAATATTGTACAACATAACACCCAGTAAAAAAGACAACAAATAGAACAATCACCAAAGTATTCATCGACTTTAAAGTGCCTCAACTGTATTCTGTTTCATTTGGATTCTAATTTCTCCTCCCTCCTCACAAAAACTGAGTTTCATTAATGCACAAGTGCTCAGCCTTATTAGAATTATGGTTAGATGCAGGCTTACCTTGGGATGACCTATTTTGAATATGCCCTATGTTCTTTAACTCTGCTTGGCAATTTATCTCACAACATCCCTGAAAGGCTTTCTATTCATTTTGATTGATGAATGACCTCCTCCACTTCCCTTAAACAAAGATTAAACTGCAAATAATTATTATACTTCACGTAGAACTAACAAAATACATTTGCCTTTTAAATGGGAAATTATAGACAATGTATTACTGTTTCAGCATAAACAGTGAATTTAACACTCAGTCAGATTTTGAAGTATTATTTTCTGGTCAATGAATATATTATTACAATGAAGCACATATTTCCTTTTGACTCTTGCTTTATTACTTGAAGAGCAACTATGACTTTAAAAAAAAACCGCTACTACAAAAGCGCTGTTTCTTCCCTGCTGTGTCTTCCCTCAGATATGATTACAAAGGCACAGGCAATGTTAATTTGTGGGCAGAAAAGTGGCTTCCCCTCTGAAGGAGGTTAATGCTGTGCATTTGCTGTCTTGAAGTGCACCTTTCATACGAACCTAATTTGTACGATGCATTTTAAATGTCAACAGGGCAAAATGACAAATTGTTATACCATTTAGCAAATTAGTATGAGTTAAAGGCTTATTAAAGATAATTAAAAAGCAATCAAGAAGCTTTTAATTTGCTGCAGTGAATGTCAATTAGTTCAGTAAATCTATCACCAATGAATACATCTACCATTCTGGCTGTTGAGTGCAGTGGTTAACACTGCGGCACTGTTTCAATTGCAGAATACAATCTGACACATGATTTTTGGAAATGAATTAATGTGGTTGAATCCAATAACTCAAATAATTAATGGATAATATCACAGCATCTAAAATGTAAGTAGGGATATGAAAAAAAGGACATAAAAAACTATACAGTGTCCAGATAGTGGCAGTAATTATATTCACTGCTTAGAATTAATGACTGCTTGCAGATATTGCGATACGGTCATCACAGCATGATGCAGCAGTGGAGACTCCATCCCCTATGAGTCTACTGTTACAAAGTACCAGGGCATGGCTTTCCTCTGTTAAAGGTAATATGTGGTTGTTGCTGTCACACCTCCCTGGGGAAGTACATTCAAAATCAAGCCCTGCTTATTCCCAGAGTCACCACAAATATAAGAATTGGATTAAGCCACTGAATTGCCCAATTTTATCCAACTGCCTTATTCAAGTTAAAAAAATATGGAGACCAGGCTTTTATTGTTAACAAGGAAATCACTACTTATTGTAATCAGAGATAGAAGGAACTGCAGATGCTGGAGAATCTGAGATAACAAGTTGTAGAGCTGGATGAACACAGCAGGTCAAGCAGCATCAGAGGAGCAGGAAGGCTGACGTTTCGGGCCTAGACCCTTCTTCCAAAATGTCAGCTTTCCTGCTCCTCTGATACTGCTTGGCCTGCTGTGTTCATTCAGCTCCACACCTTATTGTAATCAAACAGTTTTTTAACCATTGGCATGCAAGGAACATGAATGACTAAAATATAAATCCACAATTTGAACTTCCTCCTCCTGTATGTGTTTCTATCTGCATGGGAATTTTAACAAAGAGACATGACAAACAGTACATAAGAAGGAGGAACAAAAAAAGTATGCGAAGTACGGTTCTGGCATCAGTCTGGATCACTGAATAAAATAGAATAGAATTGAATTTTATTGTCATGTGTATTTTTACATGAAAAATACAGTGAAAAGTTTGACAAGTTGCTCTACTATGGCGCCTACATTAATGACAGAAGTCATACATGATAATAAATAAGAAGAAACATTAAGACAAAGTTCATGTCAGTTCAGTTAATGATTTCTGGGCTCAGGGAAAGCTGATTACAGGTTTCCCTTCAGTTCTGTTCAATTCCTTTTGACTCTTTGATGAGGATATGAGGTTGTGGTTATGTCAATTCTCAATCTTCCATTCACTGCTAGAAGATTCATCTTTCTAGTGTCTCCGAACGTGTTTTCTTTTACACTTCAATGAGGGAATTTGCAGAATGAGGCATTTTATCAGAAAATATTCAGTAAAAATAGCTACCAGGAGCTTTTCTGTTACATCTCCACACAGGAGGCGGCGGGGGGCGGGGGGCAGTGGAGAAACAGCGAAAGAGAGAGATTCAGGTGCTTGCTTTTTATTTATTAAAGATAGATATTTCTTCTCTACTTTCCACATACAGGGTTGCAACCACTTGCCTAAGAACCAGTCAAGTGGTTGTTACTATGCTAAACCCTCAATAAATAGTAAATTGAAAACCAATCATAGGACTGTCTCTGGGCAAAACTGCCTGAGTGTGAACATACGCGCGCGCATACAC